GATATAAGCTTCACTAGCACCATTGATTACACAAGAGTTAATCTAGCCAGAAGCGGTCCATGGTTAACAGGTATGTATACTTCAAATAGAAAGTATATGAACCCGGAACCAACAAAGGTGGCAGGTACAACATTACACCTTCAAGTAGCCGAGCCCGTTGGCAACAGACCCAACACAATCAGGCATAAGTGTACCCAACAACAGGAACTAGCTGGCACATCTCACACACACACACACACCACACACACACACCACACACACACACATACACACACATACACACACACACATACACACAAAAAATTTCTAAATCTCACACACATATACACACACACATATTCTCCAAATCTCACACACACACATTCTGTCTCTCTCTCCCTCTCTCTCACACACGCAAACACACACGCACACGCGCGCGCGCTGTACGCCCACAATACTCATCCCTTTATTCTCACACATGGAAATTCTGTCGTTATTAGAGAACTAACCACTGTATACAATACATAGTCATCACTAGTTTTTTTAGTTTTTTTATTCAAGGCCTCTTTTACGGGCAAATTAACATAATGGTTTTAAAATCCAATAAATCATACACTGGAGAAGAAATCAGAAAAATGAATGTGTAAAATAAAGGATTTCAAACCCAAAACAAACAAAAAACTTCAAATCAATTTTTTTATAATTGAAGATAACTGCTCAATCTATAAACTTAATTCAAAAGGAGAAAAACACTAACAAACCAAATAACACTGTGAAAAGAAGAAGGAAAAATGTTACGAGTTATGACTAACTGTCCACCAACGTAACAGAGCATAACTCGTAACTTTTGTCCTTCTTCTTTTCACAATTATTTAATTGGCTCACCATCCGAGTTACAAAAAAACACTGTACTAATTAATAAGAACCCCAATAACTTCATCAAGATAGGTGGCGGGTAGTCATTACTGACCTGACCTGACCTTTGACGCCCATCGCCGGAGGCGATGATAGCAATGCTACGGCAGAAGCCATAGCAACTTGTGCTGGGATTACACCATTCAACAGCTTGCAAGGCTGAATAATTGACCGTCACTATTCAGCCTGGTCTACACAATACAGCTATTTGGAGTTTCATTACTAGTAGTAGTAGTAGTAGTACTAGTGACTAGTACATACATGTAGTTAGGAGTACACTAGCAGCATCGCCCTTGCCCTCCCGCCCTCCCTGCCCTGGCTGTACTGACGTCACTGGGTCGATCTTACTCTTACTCTTAGCTTGGCAATCCCTGCAGCTGCACCAGCGCAGCAGCCAGCAGCAGCAGCTCAGCTGCTGGACTGCAAGGGGGTGATATTCATGGCAAGTCTCGCCACAGACTAGCGCCTTGCGACAAAAGCGGCGGGGTTCTGCCCAAGTCTGTGATGTCATGTAGTAGGCGAATGTCCCAATACTGGCCAGATCACGTGTTGCTTAGCCGCGCCTGTCAGTAGACTAGTACATACATGAACACACCTAGCGCATGTTCCACTCCGCGCTCAGCCAAATTCTGGCAAAGAGCGCTTCTTCTCTCACCACCATCTGTTCGCGAAAGTGCCCACCAGATTCATAGCCAGTAATATCTAGATACAGTGTAGCTGGCTGTTAGCAACAATAGCTTGTAGCTGGCTGGCATATCGACCTTGAAGTTGAGGTGGAGATTTACGTAGAAGATTGAAGAAGCCTTCATTATTTCCTTCCACATTAAATGGTGCAATGTAGTTTTCCCACTATACTACCCAAATACCCTAAGACTAAAAGGGTGTTGATGGTTTGTAGTGTCATACTATTGCTACTAAGTATCAGCCTGAGCTGTGTGGGTGCTCAAATGCCTATGTACAGTTCATGTGACGTGACTGAATAGTGCAGGCGCACGGACTCTGCACGTGTACCCCTTTTTTCATCAGCATGCAGCAGTCACGTGCGACGTACGGTGTTTGGAAGTGCTGGACGTACTTAGCCTCTTAGGCTACGTGTGGGCAATACGCGAGTTCTAATCTATGGTACTTGAACCCAGGCAGAAAGACCGTGAGACCGTGCATCTACAACAACATGTTTTAGAATCCAACCCAGACGCCCAGAGCACAAAACAATCAAAATAAAACTTGCCGATTTATGCATTTGCAATACAGTTCCTCCCTCCTGTGTTTTGCGATTAAATTTATAATTGTTTTGGAGCTGCTCTATGCTCTAGTGTTGCATATTACAATGTAGACCATTTCTGTTGATAACAGTTAAACTAGCAGAATTACTACTTGTACTAAGTTGTAGTGATTTAGCGCCTAGCATCGTGACAGATCACCAGCAGTCAGCAGTTTATCTTGAGTCAGACAGCGATCTCGTCATCAAGTTGAGCCCGGGATGGCTGAGATCGAGAAGAGCCTTGCCAAACTGTCAGACGTGCAGGCCAGGTCAATGGCTAGCCTCAAAGCCGAGGCAAGGCTTCTGGAGCTAAATCCTATGGCTGATGTCTATGCTGCACCGGTAACTGACGATTTCCTTCACTGGACAGTAAGTATGCCTGGACCAGGAGGCAGTCCGTATGAAGGTGGGCTTTTTCATCTAACCATGATGTTTGCAAACGACTCCCCGTCGAACTGGCCCAAAATGTTCTTCAAAACGAAAACCCTGCACCCGATACTGAAGACAGATGGTCGTGTGTGTTCATTCTGCGTACTGAGTCAGATACCGAGCAGAGGTTGGTGGCCGGAGTATGGAGTAAAGGATATCCTCCAATCCATTCTTCAAATGTTGAGTGATCCCTTTTCGTGCACTGCGCACACGGATGATGAAGATGCAGCGATGTTCAGAACAAGTCCCGACTTGTATGAAAGGAAAGCCAAAGAATGGACAAAGAGGTACGCCATGATAGAACGCTGGCAGCGAGCTGGAGGCTGATAACACTCTGATAGTGTGTGGGTGCGTGTGTCTTCAAGCAGCCGTGTGGTGTGATGTGCGCAACATCTCTATTCTTTGTCATATTCCCACCGCATATAAAACCTCATTTCCAGGTATTTCCGTATGTTATGTGTTTGCTTACCTGTGCGTTTGGTTCTAGCATGTTGATCAGCTGACTGTGTGTTACAAGGCGGGGGACGCACTGTATTGAAAACGGTGCTCCTGACAGTGACAGGTCAGATGATCGCAAGACCTAGGGCTAGGGCTGACTCAGTCAACCGATGATGCTTGTACTTGTAGTCAGGACAACTGTCCACTGGTTCACAGTGCGTCCTCCGCTTTGTAATGGACCGTATGCGTGTTAAAACAAAATGGCGTCACGATTTATTGAAAGTGGTATAGTTGGTGGTACGAGTGTTCAAACCTATTTGAACTTCATACTGTTCGTCTTCTTTTTGACATGCTCTCTTTCCATCGTCCTTAGCTTTTGTTTGTTGAGAGCTGTTTTGGCTTTCTCCTATACCTCTGGGGGATGCCAAGTGATGGTTTTGAGAGGCTGGTGATGGCTGTGAGCGAGAGTTTGCCGATCGGCGTCGTCCTCGCTGTAGCGATGAAAATACTAGTTACTGCGCACCTGGCAGATATCACGACACGTCGGAGCGTCCAGGAGCAAAGGAATCTTGGGTTTTCACTGGAATCTAGATCCTCCAGCATCGTGTAGCCCACCGTCGGTGAATGGCGGTCCATAAAGGTCGAACCTGGTCTTCTGCAGCATCTCGAGAAACAAACAAAAATGAGAGGTACGCAGAAAAAACTCTCGTAAGCCGCCCAAGGGGAAGTGGTTGATGAGGGATGAATGCAATCTCCACGCTCATCTACACTGTTCGTGGAAATGCACACATACATACAATAATATACAACATAGCAATAGCATGCACAGAACCGAACAATTTCATGTTCACACATGCAAGCACAGACCTGAATATTAGTACCAAAAGCCGCACACACACACACACAATGTCCCATGTATGCGCCCGTGGCGAGAAAAGCACGCAAATCTACAAATGCACTGGATGTGAACCCACAGATTTTCTCTTATAGCAACGATAGCGGATCTGATTCTGAATGAAACACACACACAATACAATCATTGAATGTCCATC